TGCATATTATAAAAGAAAATCAATGGTGCCACTCTCCAAGATAGTGAGCATTACAGACTAAATTTTAGAAGGAAAAAAATCATGTTTTCATAGTTAATTTTAGATGTAATCAATTTGAAGATATTTATACCAAGTATCTTGTTTGCATTCAGATTTATGCTCTACCCATCACTGTATAGTTTATCTGTATCATCCATCAATAGGCAACCTCATCAGAGGAGTATTTATTTCGATGGCTCCCTCTCTGTGAGGTTGCCTTGAGCAGTGCCCTTCAAAAGAAGGTATCATCTCAATACAGTCTCTTCTTTGTAACTTTCTCCTGAGTACCAGTTACACTAATCAAGATAATCAATACACGAACACATAAACTCAAAGGCACATTACAATTAAACTGCTGAAAACTAGTAATAAAGATAAAATCTTAAAATCAATCAAAGAAATAAAATACATTACATATAGAGGAACAAGATAAGAGAACAGCAGGCTTCCCTTCGAAAACTATGTATGGCAGCCCGGCTGGCAAGGCTCAGTGGTTGAATGTCAACCTATGAACCAGGAGATGGTGGTTCAATTCCAGTTCAGGGCACATGCCTGGGTTGCAGGCTCCATCCCCAATATGGGGCGTGCAGGAGGCAGCCGATCAATGATTCTCTCTCATCATTGATGTTTCTATCTCTCTCTCCCACTCTCTATTCCTCTTTGAAATCAATAAAAATATATTTTTAAAAACTATGTATGGTAAAAAACATGCCATGCTTAACGTGCTGATAGGAAAAAAATGCAACCAAAAATATACTATTCTCCCCCCAAAGAAAACCTGCCAACACAAAATAAAAGCTCAGAATTCATCACTAAGAGACTTATAAGAAATGTGAAAGGAAATTCTTTAGGCAGTAGAAAAATGACACCAGAGAGTATCATGGGAAGGTTAAATGTATGGATAAATATAAAATACTTTTTTCTTAAATTTCTTCAAAAGATTAACTATTTAAAGCATACACAATAACAGTGTATTGGGGTTTATAACACATGTAGAAGTAAAATGTATGACAACAATAGCATAAAGGATGGGAAGAGGTAAAAGGTAGTATACTGTGAAATGGTACATAACATTCGAACTTAACTGTGTAAGGTAGGCACATTTTATAAACCCTAGAGAAGCCACTAAAAATAATTTTCGAACAATGATGTATACCTAATAAGCCAATAGTGGAGATAACATCAAATATTTTAAAATGTGAGAAATATCAGGGATTAAAAAGGGACACTCGCCCTGGCCGGCTTGGCTCAGTGGATAGAGCGTCGGCCTGCGGATTGAAGGGTCCCAGGTTTGATTCCGGCCAAGGGCACATGCCTGGGTTGCGGGCTTGATCCCCAGTGGGGGGTGTGCAGGAGGCAGCCAATCAATGATTCTCTCTCATCATTGATGTTTCTATCTCTCTCTCCTCTCTTCTTCTCTGAAATCAATAAAGAAATATATATTTAATTTAAAAAAATAAAAAAAAATAAAAAAATAAAAATAAAAAGGGACACTCATAAGAAAAAAGCCAATCCATCAAAAAAATATAAGAATCATAAATATGTATGTATCCAATACCAGAGTTTCAAATTACATGAAGTAAAATCTTTCAAAGTCAAAGGAGAAATAGACGAAAGTATTTTGATTTTCACTATACTAAACTCATTTGTATTTCTATATATTGGCAAAAAAAATTATAAATTGAAATTTAAAAGTAATTTACAATTACATCAAAAATATGAAATATGTAGGGATAAAGTTAACCAAATATGTGGAAAAAATGAAAAAAAATGTGGAAAATGTGTACAACACTGAAAACTACAAAAATACTTCTAAGAGAAATTAAAATTAAACAATTATCCAGAAACTGATCGATAACATCCAATCTCAATCAATATTCCCTTAGGTTTTTGTTTTTATGTAAGAATTAACAATATGATTCTAAAATCACACAGAAAAGCAAGAACCTAGTATAGCCTACCAATTTTGAAAAAAAAAAATCAGAAAATAAAACACAAAGTTGGAAGACTCATTTACTAAATTTCAAGGCTTACTATATAAAACATAGTAATCAAGTCATTAGTACTGACTAATAGATAAATGGAACAGAACAGAAAGTCTAGGAAGATTCACAAGTATATGTACAACTGATTTTCAACAAAGATGCAAAAGTAATACAGTGATGAAAGAATAGTTTTTTTCAACAAATGATATTGGAACAACTGTTTATCTGGAAGAAAAATAAACTTTTATCCTTACCTCAAATCACCCACAAAAATTAATTTCAAATGGTTCATAGGCCTAACCATAAAAAATCACACTTGAAATTTCTGGGGAGAAAAAGGAGAAAATCTTCATAATCTTGGGTAAGCTAAGATTTCTTAGGTCACCAAAAGCACAAAATTTTTTAAAAACTGGACTCAAAGTTAATATTTTCTCTTCCTCAAAAAAACACTGAAAATGAAAAGGGAGGCCACAGACTGGGAGAAAATATTTGCAATGCATATATATATATCTGACAAAGTATATAAAAGAATAGTTAAAATTCAATAATAAAATTCATGGGAATCAGGATAATGGTTTATTCTGGCAACACAGAAAAAATATTGGGGAGCTTGATTATACCTATGCTTAATTTCTTTAAAAACTGCTGGGAAGTGAGTATATGAGCCTTTATTATAATTTTATTTTATTCCTTACTCCATGCATAAAATACATATAATTAAAAGAAAAAGTAAACACTATACCCAAAGAGAGCTTAATTCATATTATTCCATTAAATTATCAGTTACTAAGACACTTAAAGAAGGATTTTCCCCCAGGTCTTATTCACCAATGACACACACAAATATATATAAAACTGAAGAAAAGAAAAAGATTCAGTCGTATTTCTAGTTTCCTACTAATCATTCCTACTTGAATGCTTAAATGTTTCCATCATTACTTCAAACTTATTAAAACAACTGAAGATTGCTGATCTTTCCCCACACCATGGATTCAAGTTCTTTGTTCTTTGCTGGTTCCACCACTTTACAAGTTACAAGGATAGCATTCTGCTTAAGAGCATAAGCTCTAGAGCCAAATTGCCTATGGTTGTATGTTGCCCATAGCTCAAGCATTGCCTGACTTTGGATAAATTACTTAATCTCTTTGTTTCTCAGAATAAATGTTGCATATGTAAGGTTCTTCGGGCTAAACCTGCCAAATAGTCATTCTCAATATGTGTTAATCACTCTTTTTAAAATCTTATTGCTAATGTCTTTATTGCAATTATGTCTTGATTCATCTTTGTTTCTTCCCTGGTCCCCCTATATCAAGAAAGGTACTAAGCCCTGTTGATTGTTCCTAGAACAATCTGACCTCTCCCTATTTCTGGACATCAGTAGTGGAGGTCTAAAATACTATAGCCTCCTCCCTACAAGTCTTGCTTTTCTTTAATTTCTTGCCATTCCAATCTACTCACACTATTGGGTTCCAAATTAATCACTAATATAAAAGTATGGTGGTAGAAAGCTTCAAGGTTAAGTGTTAATCCTACAAATATCAAAGCAAGCTACATTTATTACTATGAGAGGAGCAACAATATATTATAAATTGGCCCGGCTGGCATGGCTCAGTGGTTGAGCATTGACCTATGAACCAGGAGATCACAGTTCAATTTCTGGTCAGAGCACATGCTCAGGTCGTGGGCTTGATTGCCCGTAGGAGGCGTGCAGGAGGCAGCCGGTCAATGATTCTCTCTCATCATTGATGTTTCTATCTCCCCCCCCTCTCTCCCACCTCTCGGAAATCAATAAAAATATTTTTTAAAAATATTATCAATTGCCTTTGATTAGAATTAGCAGTTCCCTATTATATCAGCAATCACTCCTAACAGAGTTTGAGACTTGATTTAGTATAAAAATCACCAGTCTTTTTGAATACTCACTTACCTGTTTGGGCCCTAGTCTCTTTTATTATAAGTAAAACGTTTATAAATGCCATCGGTCTATGCTCCCAGATCCTAGAAGATAACACTGATTGAGCACAACATTCTTTTTTTTTTTAATATATTTTATTGATTTTTTACAGAGAAGAAGGGAGAGAGATAGAGGGTTAGAAACATCGATGAGAGAGAGACATCGATCAGCTGCCTCCTGCACATCTCCTACTGGGGATGTGCCTGCAACCCAGGTACATGCCCTTGACCGGAATCGAACCTGGAACCTTTCAGTCCGCAGGCCGACGCTCTATCCACTGAGCCAAACCGGTTTTGGCGAGAACATTCTTTCCTGATGAGCCCAGAATAATCACAGTTATCAAGGAAATTAATACCAATGGAGGAACGGCAGAGGTGAAACCTATGTGTTATTTTGAACTATATAATCCCTGGAGTTTTTCCTAATTTTAAAGGTCTATGAGTCTATTCTAAGCTACACAAATCTATATAAAATTCCCCTAATTTAAAATTAATAATTAATTTGAAATAAAATCTAGAAATGTAAAAAGCATTCTGAAATCTTTTATAAAAATTATATTTGGCCCCCTGGCATGGCTCAATGGTTGAGCGTCGGACACCTATGAACCAGGAGGTCACTGTTCCGATTCCCGGTCTCAGCATATGCCTGGGTTGTGGGCTCCATTCCCAGTGTGGGGCACGCAGGAAGCAGCCAATCAATGATTCTCTCTCATCATAGATATTTCTATCTCTCTCTCTCTCCCTCTCCCTTCTTCTCTGAAATCAATAAAAATACTTTTTAAAAAAAAATTATTTTTTTGTATTGCCTCAAAATAATTTGGTCTAAAACTTAAAATTGTCTTTTAAAACAAATGTCATTGTGATATTTCACTATAAATTCATACTTTGGTGGCAATGCATTTTGGAACACTATTAAAATGAGCCCAGAAATTTGATATGGGCACACAGAAGTTACACAACTACTCTTCGAAAGTAGTTCCTGGAAATTTGAACAACATGAACTTAATTTTTTTTAACATTTACCTTTTTTCTTCTTTTGCTCTCAGCTGTTCTTCCTGTCTCAAAACTTGAACCATTATAGATTCAAAAACTCCACTTGTCAAGCCCGCCAAACTTCGCGGTGTTGACCGACGCCTTGTTGAAGTACATGCAGTTCCCTTCTCATCCTCCAATCCATAATAGCCTCTAGATGTAACTGCTATCGTTGTCTTTTCTCTCAAGTGCCTTGGAGAAGAATAAGTCAATTCACAAGGTCAAAACTCCTGAGTAAGCAAAAAGCCCCCTTAACCAGCATCTTAAGAATTCCTTTTGCTAACTACATAAAAAGTATTTAGTAAATTTAACTATGCTCCAGATCATTTTATCCTCCCTATATAATTTTAAATTTTCCTTACTCAGCTCATAAAATCAGTGATAGCTCCTTCCCTTCGTTAAAAAAATACACATAACTGAAGTATTAAAATTAGTTATTAAAGCACTACCTCTTTAAAGAAAGTTTACTGTGAGCAAACTTAAAATGTACCTTATCTTTATATCTCTTCATATATTTCATTCTACCTATCATTGGTGTGGAAAAATGTACAATAGAAAAAGACTCTGGGAGAGAAAATTTATGATACATAAATACTTTGAGGAAATTATAAACAATGAATCATTAAAATATATAATTTTAAGTTGTATTACAATGTAATTATAAATTTGGAAATCTTCTGACTAATCTATAAGAATATAACAATTCCTCTTCAATCTCACCACAAATGTTTCCCTGGTCTATAATATTTTAATAGACTAAGATACTGACCTAGTTTTTAAAGATATTGATGTGAAAAAGTTTCTCAGCAATTTGCTTAATTGTCCATAAATTCCCTTAATGAATTTGAAATAACTGATTAAAACCATTCACACTGGAAAAAGAAACATTACATTAAACAAAGTTTTAAGTCTAGACTAAAAATATTTCTGAATTTGTATCTATATGTGTTAACTGTAAAAAGCATCAGAGGGAAAAAATCTGCTCTTCTACCTTTATAAACAATGCCAGAGCCTCTGAAGGTTTTGTATATGCTGTTGTTTCTATGATGGCAAAATCAAGTCACTACTCAAAGTAAGCATTCAATATCCCAGAGAAGAATTTATATACATTCAAAGTTGATCCTGTAGTCATATTTCCCTGCTTTCCTATAGGCTTCAATATAAAACAGGCTAAAAGTTCACCAAAACATAAGCCTTTATGGCATGTAATACAATTAAACTCCTGTCCATCTTGGACTATATTTACAGTGTTTTGTTACTCTAAGTTAGAAAAACTTAACAATCTTACTCTTAGGCCACCTAGGTCCCACAAATGGTATAACTGCAAGGTTCTACTGAACTATGGCACTATTATGTGTTTTCTCTGTTATAAGAAGATAATATTTTAACTAATTCAGCTTTAGGTAGGGAATGAACTTTTAAACTAGCTTTCCAGTAATTCTGAAGAATTTAGGATAAACTACCCATACTTTTAAGGCTATGATTCTTTTATGTACAATAACATTACATCTGTATGCTGAATTAATATACTTGGGTTCATTTTAGTATAGAGTTTTTACTGGGGAACTAACTACATCTGTAATTTTTTTTTTAAATATATTTTATTGATATTTTTACAGAGAGGAAGGGAGAGGGAGAGGGATAGCGAGTTAGAAACATCGATTCAGCTGCCTCTTGCACGCCCCCTACTGGGGATGTGCCCGCAACCCAGGTACATGCCCTTGACTGGAATCGAACCCGGGACCCTTGAGTCCGCAGGCCGACGCTCTATCCGCTGAGCCAAACCAGCTAGGGCTACATCTGTAATTTTAATCACTTCCTCATAAATACTAATAGAAGAGAACATTAATAAACAATATTACACTGAAACATAGTAACTTCTCAGAGGTCACAGTGTATGTAGAGCACTGGAGATAAGGAGAGTTGAGGGAAATAGAAAGTCACATGGGAAATTTGTTGTGTAAAAAAGTCAGAAATTCAATTATATCCTTTAACTTCAGTCTTATAAGATGAAATTAATAAATTACTTTTTAACAGTATTTTCTCAGAACAAAGACCAAAAAGAAATATCCTTTATTATTTATCAGAAATAAAAACTTATAAGCTTTGATACTTATTCATAATTAAAAAAGAAAACTATGTTTCTCTCATATCAACAAATAAAGATTAAACACTGACACTAACTCAGTGTTGGAGCAGATTCTAAGAAAGAAAAATTCTCATATAACATTAGTGGATGTGTAAAATTGGCAGTGCTTTTGAAAGTTAATTTGGTAATGATCATTACGATTTAACATGCACATACCCTTTTACCTGTCATGCTTCTAATAATGTACCATATATACACTGAGTGGCCAGATTATATGACCACCTGACGCTTGTAGGCAAATTAGCTATAATTTTGTGCCGAAGTTGCTAGAGGGCCAGACCATTATAAATAGGGAAGCATTATAAATAGGAGATTATAAATACTGTTGTTGTTTACCATGACAGTAGAAGTGATTTTTTTCTGAAGATATGGGTAAACAACACGATTTAACAGGCTTTGAAAGTGGGATATATATTATTATGAGTGGCCAGATTATTATGACCACCCCATCAGTATTTCGTTGGGCCACCTTTTGCCTTCAATACTGCGGCGATTCTTCTTGGCATTGACTCCACGAGATGTTGAAAGGTGATGCGAGGAATCTGACACCATGCCTGATGAATAGCACTGTCCAGTTCTGTGAGATTTGATGGTTGTGGAACCAGCTGCCTGATGGCTCTTTTAACTTCATCCCACAAATGCTCAATTGGATTGAGATCTGGTGATTGTGGGGGCCACCTAAGCAAGGTAAGTCTCCCTCATGTTCTTGAAACCACTCCTGCACAATACGAACACCGTGGCATGGCGCATTGTCTTGTTGGAAGAAGCCATCTCCATTGGGATACACCATCAACATGATAGGATGAACTTGATCAGCAATGATACTTAGGTATGTTGTGCCTTCAGCTTCCATATCCCATACAATGCAGTGTATGGCTAATTTGCCTACAAACCTCAGATGGTCATAATAATCTGGCCACTCACTTTCAAATATATCCCACACAAAGGCTGTTAAATCGTGTTGTTTACCCATACCTTCAGAAAAAAATCACTTCTGCTGTGGTAAACAACCTGCTTCCCTATTTATAATGGTTTGGCCCTCTAGCAACTTCAGCATGAAATTATAGCTAATTTGCCTACAAACGTCAGGTGTTCATAATAATCTGGCCACTCTTTGTGTGTGTGTGCGTGTGTGTGTACACACACACTAGAAGCCCGGTGCACGAAATTCATGCATTCGGGAGGGTCCCTCAGCCCAGCCTGTGCCCTCTCATAGTCCAGGAGACCTCGGGAGATGTCTGACTGCCACAGAGGCGGGAGAGGCTCCTGCCACTGCCACTGCGCTCGCCAGCCATGAGCCTGGCTCAGGGCTTCTGGCTGAGTGGCGTTCCCCCTGTGGGAGCACACTGACCACCAGGGGGCAGCTCTTGCATTGAGCGTCTGCCCCCTGGTGGTCAGTGCGCGTCATGGCGACTGGTCCTTCCACTGTTCAGTCAATTTGCATATTAGCCTTTTATTATATAGGATATCTCTGCAACTATAAGCCGCCCCCCACACACAGAATATTGTTTATTTTAAAAAAAACTTGAAAACATAAACGTCCTTTGATACAAGACAAATTAACTAAAATACTGTACCCACAATATGAAATGGCACCCATCCATTATAAGAAATTACGTAAATCTATTTATGCTCACTGTAAAATATGTCCCCATTACTCTGCTGAATATAAAAAAGCAGTTTCTAAACAAAATATATTTTGACCCAAAAGAAATTATATACAAGTGTATATGTAAACATACATATGGCACTGAGTAGTGTGTACATGTATGAGTTCAAATTCTCACCTAAACTATTGCAATCTCTTCATGACAGGTCTCCTGGCTTCTGCTCTAATTTCCCTACAGTCTATTCTGCATACAGCAACGCAGGTAATCCTTTTAAAAGGAAATCAGATCATGTCATTCCCTGCCCTGTTTCCTCCAAAGCCTTCCAGTTACACTTAAAATATAATCCAAAGTTCTGATGGCCTATAAGATCTAGTATTATATGGCCCTCATCTACTTTCCAGCCCTCATTTTCTACCACTCTGCCCTTAGGTCTGTCTGTCCTGGCTATCAAAATCTGCTTGGTATTCTCAGTCACACCAACATCGACTTTGCACCCAATCTTCTTTCTGAAAAGCCTTTTTCCCCAGATATTTGTATGGTTAGGCACTATCACTTCATTCATTTGTCTGTTCAAATGCCAGCATATCTGAGAGGACTTCTTTGACTACTGTAACTAGGATCCCCATCACTCTCTATTTTCCCCTTCATATTACTTGTCACTACATTGCATTATATAATTACTTAAAATAAGCTTAATCTCACATTACAAGTATCTAGGTGAACAGTGAGACACACCAACAGCACAGTGGAGAGAGGTAAAAAATAGATCCAAGTACAAAGGGCCAGGATGAGGCACTGGGGATGAGCCACTGGGACCACTTTTGAGGCAAGCAACCAGGAGGACATGAGGTGAGGCACAGCCAGCAAGCATTGGGGCTCTGTTGTGAGGTGTGGGGCAAGGCTAAATGGGGACTCAGGGGGGATATCAGATGAGCAGTGAGGAGCATATGAGGTGAGCGGGGGGTGGGAAACAAAAAGAAAAGAAAAAGATCCAAATACAACAGAAATTTAATGTACTATAAAAATGGTAAATAATAAATAAAGAAACGTGATGCTTTGACCACTATCTGGACATGAGAAAAAAGTAAAGCTGGATTTCAACCTCACTCCTTAACAAAAACAAATAAATGTCAGACAGATCATACCTTTGTTCATTCATTCACTTATTCCTTCATTCAATATTCATTTAGGTGTACGCATCAACACTGATAGGCAAGATTCCTGTCCTCATTAAGCTTACATGCTAGTAAAAAAATATATAAAAAGTAAGCAAGCAAATATGTACATAAGTTCTAATTATAAATTCTGTGAGGTAGTCAAGAATAATTTCTCTGAGGTAGTGATAGGAGGAGGAGCCACCATAACAAAAACAAATGAACGAACAAACAAAAAAACCTTTGGAGTAAGTGTTCTAGATAAAAGAAAGAGCAAGT